AACCTCCAAATCCTCCAATCTTATTTTCAAATCCCTAGGTTCAAATCCTTGATTTACACCTCAAAATCACGTAATCTGGTCGGATTATTCGATGATAATTCAATATTATGAAGTAGAAATGATCACAATCGACTTACCTCAAGTTTTCTTTGAATTCTCTCCGAAAATCGCCCCAAAAACTGTGCTTGAAAGTACAAAAATGGCAAAACTCGAAACCCCTTCGAAATGTATATTGGCCAGGGGTTCCGCACCTGCAACTCACTTAGCCGCTTCTGTGGTCTCATAGGTGCGAGAAATCAATCGCTTATGCGGTTTGCCAAAGCCTCCACTAGAGCCGCTTCTGCGGGCTCGCATTTGCGAGGCTCGCTCCACTTCTGCGGAGAACTCGCTTCTGCGCCCTTCCGTTCGCATTTGCGATCATGTAGGTATGGAAATTCCCTCACACCTGTGACCACTACCTCACAGCCCCCGGTCCACATCTGCGCTTGCCAGGCTCGTTTCTGTGAGTTCGCATATGCGAGCCAATTTCCGCAGGTGCGGTTGCATCATATGGCAGAAACTTTCAGATTTTTCTTCTAAGTCCGAATTCTATTCATTAACCCTCTGAAACTCACCCGAGGTCCCCGAGACCTCAACCAAAAATACCAACAAGTCCTAAAACATCATACGAACTTAGTCGAGCCTTCAAATCACATCAAAAAAATGCTAAAATCACGAATCATACCCCAATTCAAGCTTAATGAACTTTGAAACTTCCAATTTTCTACAAACGACGTCGGAACCTATCAATTCACGTCCGATTGACCTCAAATTTTGCACACAAGTCATAAATGACATAACGGACCTATTCAAATTTTCAAAATCAGATTCCGGCCTCGATATCAAAAAGTCAACCCCCCGGCCAAACTTCCAAAAAATTTTACTTTCGCCATTTCAAGCCTAATTTCACTACGGACCTCCAAATAATTTTTCGGACACGCTCCTAAGTCCAAAATCACCATACAGAGCTATTGGAATCATCAGAATTCATATTCGAGGTCGTTTACACATAAGTCAATATTCGGTCAACTTTTCCAACTTAAGTTTTCAATTATGAGACTAAGTGTCTCATTTCACACCGAAATCCTTTCGGACCCGAATTAACTAACCCGGTAAGTCATAAAACAACTGTAAAGTATAACTTGAGCAGTAAATGGGGGAACGGGATTATATACTCAAAACGACTGGCGGGTCTTTACAATTACACCCTATATCTCCAAAGCTTTCTCATATATTCTAAAACATACTACAATATTCTAATTTGTATTACAATCCAAATCAAACATACCACAATATTCTAATTTGTATTACAATCCAAATCGAACATACCACAATATTCTAATTTGAAATATAATATTCAACTAAACGTAGTAGAATATTTTAATTTGGAATACAATATCCAAATCACACATATCATATTATTCTATGAAGAATACAATATTCAAACCAAACATACCACAATATTCTAATTTGGAATGCAATCCAAACCGAACATACCACATTATTCTAATTTTAAATACATTATTCAAACTGAACACACCACAATATTCTAATCTAGAATGCATTATATAAACCAAACATATCATATTATTCTAATGGAGAGTACAATATTCAAGTCAAACATATCCTAATATTCTAATTTGGAATATAATATTCAAATCAAACATACTACAATATTTTAATTGAAATACAATGGTCAAACCAAATATACTACAATATTCTAATTTAAAATACAATAACTATACCAAATATACTATAATGTTTTAATTTGGAGTACAATATACAGACCAAGCATTCCATAATTTTCTAATTTGGAATACAATATTCAAATCAAACATACACTAATATTCTAATTTATAATACAGTATCCAAATCAAACATATTACAGTATCCTAATTTAAAATACAGTATCCAAATCAAACATACCAAAATATTCTAATTTAGAAGACACAATATTTTATTTTGAAATACAATAAGTATACAATGTAAAATAAATTTATAAAGTAGGTATACATGGTAAAATAAAATATTTTAATTATATATGATGTTAACTGGTATTTTCAGTAGACATACCGTGTGGGTTTCGCTTTATTTTATTTTTCTTTTCTCGTCATTTCAAATATCTGAAATACTCTTTATATTTAGGGATATTAGACAAATTGTCTCCCGAGAATCATTCGCCGTATCCAACTAAAAAAGTACTATTTACTTTTTTCTCTTATTGAAACACACTACTCAGGTATTCTTTCAATTTACTCTCTTCGTCCCATTTTAACTATCATTTTACCTTGGGAGTACTTTTATATATACAAAATTAGGACAATACTTACCCATTGAGCTAGATTTTCCTATTTACAAAAAGTAACTAAGGTTTTTATAAAATATATTCAATTCCGATCAAAAGCTACAATTTATACATAATTTGTATACATGTTTATGTTGTACAAAATCCGGTAAAAACTGTAATTTACATATAACTTATATGCAACTTGTATATAATTTTTTGTTGTATAGAATCTGGATAAAATACATACTATTTTTATGTAACTATGTTAATTGTATATATGTTGTATGTCATTTGTGCACCCAACATATAAAATACATACAACTTATTATTTTTTGCCTCTTCAAATTTTAATCTAAAATTCTAACCCAAACCAAATTAATTTTTTACCATACTCTCTCAAAGTTGAGATATAAACTCCAAACAATATTTTCAATCGTTTGCAATAACATCCAATCTAAACAAATAATAATTTCGCAAAATTTAGTTTTGAGTTTAAAGTTTCGAAGTTTTTTAGTAGCTGTCAATGTAGTTTAAGCTTATGTCTTCACGTTTCACACCCAAATAAGGTTAAATTAGTGTGTGATTCAAAATTTCAGTATAATTTCAATTATACAATATATTTTTTCTCATGCTTTCTTCCATTTATTTATCTATCACTTGGGAGGTCCAACCAGTAAGCACCATCACTTGAACAATCTTGAAGAAGATTTGAACCTGTTGGCTGAATACCAACGGGCGAAGGTTCTGGCCTGTTGGTGCATAATAATGCTCTATTATGAAAAAATTGTGTCACTTAGGAGGGGTAGAACTTTTCATCAGAGTGAAAATAAATTCATGGAAGAGGGAGAAAAAATGGAAAAGATTGTAGTATAATACATTACTTTATATAATATATATAAAATTAAGTTACAATCTCTCGATGGAGGATAAATAAGTTTATAATGTAGTATAGATATATCAAAATACCTTTCAGCTTTTTTCACATCCATTAAGCAAAATAATAAAATACAACGTATAGTTTATTAAAATATCCCTATATAATGAAAGTAGTTTGATATTTTTCTTTTAAATACCATGCATTCTTATTAATATTAAGGGTATAATCTAAAACAATTAACAAGTTTAATTTTGAATTCCTAAAGTGATAGTAATTTTTTCTAAGACAATTTTTTAATTTTGAGCTAGAACGAAAGTAGTTAATGTCAACAAAGTCTTGTGGTGGTCTTTACGGCGTCCAGCTTTTTTTCTTAGGTTAACTAATTAATCTTGTCTGCATTATTTTTCTTCCTTTTCCGTTATACTCTTTCAGTGACATGTGCGGTGGTGGTTTTCTTTTCTCCTTCTTCTAAGAGCATTTAATAGTAAGAAATTTTATTTAAAGGATGCAACAATATGCAATTTTTGGGACAGATTTGATAAAGAAAACAAAGAGCCACCTCATCGTACTTTTAACAAATGAAGAAAGTTAACACTAAAGAAGGGAAAGCTGGCGTCTTCATGTTAGATGGAGATGGCGATGAAATTGTGGGGACGGGGGAGTATGCAGATTGATAAAAAAAATTATTTTTTATTTTCAGGAGCTGCAAGATTGGTCCCAGAGTAAATTCAATAAAGAAAAGAAAATTTAAAAAGAAAAGAAAAATGGCCATTGAATTTGGGGAAAGGCTGATTGATGCATACTCGTCTAGTATTTTTGTACTCATTCTATATTTGAATTCTCCAGCAATCATAGAGTGATATAAATTATTAAACAAGATTTTAAATTCAGAAAAGCTATTGGTACACTCATAAGCTTGTTCTTTATCAAACTATTTGAAGGTGAATTATCACTATCAACCTGCAACACTTTAATATTCCCTGAACTTATTTTCTTTTTAGTCCGTGCCAAAAAGAATAACTTCTTTTTTTATTTGAAAATAATTTACATTTATGCATTGATTTATAGCCACACAAAATATATGTCCCTTATTTTACAACACAAGTTCAAAAGTCTTATATCTTTTCTTAAATTTCGTGCCCAATCAAATGAGTTCACATAAATTGAAAAGGTGGAAGTAATTTAATTTGTTACCTCAACCAACCGAAATTAGAATAGAGAATGCTTTCTGACATTTGGTAGCACATGCTGTCACCATAAGAATACAAACTTGTTTATCAAATAAAATCTTTCCTTTATATACGTGCAAAGATTATATTCCAGTGATTTGAAATAAACAATCCGAAGTTTTTGGAAATGAGGGTGATCTCGTCATACATGATGTACTATATTAATATACTTTTCCCGTTTCAATTTATTTGAATCTATTTCCTTTTTAGTTCGTGTAAAAAAAAATGACTTTTTTCCTTATTTGGAAATAATTTACCTTTATACAATAATTTATAGCCACACAAAATATATGTGCCTCATTTTACACCACAAGTTCAAAATTCTTCTCTATTTTCTTAAACTCCGTGCCCAGTCAAATAGGTTCACGTAAATTGAAATGAAGTGAGTAGTTGTTTACTCACGTTTCAAGAAGGAAGTATAATATTCATTACATATAGTAGATTATCAGTTCACATTATTTATTTCTCTTGAAATTTTACAATAATGAATGTAAAAAGCACAATATGCGGGTGCTTGAAATGTAATCTTCGTGGAAGTTCCTACCAACATATCAAGAAAAAAAAAACTGAAAATGTATAAGTAGCAGTAGGGTTTCAAACATTCCATTCATTTTGTACGTGAAAGTGCAATAAATTAAACTAGTCATCCAAAAATTATAGGGAAAAGAAAATGAATCCAGCTGATGAAACCTTATCTTTCTCTAACCTTGATTTCCTTGAATCTATCAAGCAGAACCTTTTGAATGATCCAATTGTTTTTGAGAATTTTTCAAATGACGCATTGTCTAATAGCCCTAGCTCAAGTTCAGCAGAAAACAGCTTTAACACCTCCCTTTGTGATGAAAACTGTGAAAAGTCCGAGTCCGAGGAGGAAAGAAAGGGGCCTATGGTGGCGCGTGAGAAAAAAGCGCCGCAAGATTGGAGGCGCTACATAGGAGTGAGGCGGCGGCAATGGGGGACGTTTACGGCGGAGATAAGAGATCCGAATAGGAGAGGCGCGAGACTGTGGCTAGGAACTTATGAGAGTCCGGAGGATGCAGCATTAGCTTATGACCAAGCCGCTTTTGAGATCCGCGGCTCGAAAGCACGTCTCAATTTTCCGCACTTAATTGGCTCGACCATAACTAAGCCGGCTAGGGTTACAACGAGGTGTCGTATGCGCTCACCGGAGCCATCGTCTTCAGCTTCTTCAGAAAATAGGACAAGGAAAAGTAAGATAGATGTGATAAACTCCATAGCTAAAGCAAAATTTATTCGTCATAGCTTGATTAATCTGCAAATGTTGGTATAATTGTGAGGAACTAAGGTTTCTTCGTGTTTGACAATTGCAATATTCTCAAAGAAAAAGAAAAAAAAAACAAAGCTGCTGGACGATGACTTGTAAATGTACTTTCTCTTACGTGACCTTTCTTTTTACCGGGATAAATTAGTTGCCAGATAAATCACTTCATAAAATGTCGTTTTTTCTTCTGGCTTCCCTTGTTCATATACGGTTAGATCTCTCTATAGGATCCTTATATAATATCCATTCACTATAAAAGTTAAATTTTTTTAGAACCGATTTTTAAATTATATTTTACCTCTCTATAACAACTTTTTTACCTATAACACCAATAACCATATTTATAGCAAAACACTCTTTGTAAAATTACCCCTCTTTATCAACCATATATTTTCTTTAAGATTACTAGTAATAACTCTAAAAATATGCACACAATCTTTTCCATTAAATAATATTTCTATCTTGCATAAAATATAATATTTGAAGATTTGCACATGATAACTTTTTCATTGGATAAATTCCAAAAAAATATGTAGATGGAATATTTTTAAACTCTTAGATTGGCTTCAAGTGAAAACTATTGAATACTTTTTTGCTGGAAATTTGGACACAAACCTTCGCCAATTCAAGCGTTATGTTGCTAGTAAGAGAATGAAATCTACGAAACAAGCTACAATTACAAAGTTCTTACATCACTCTTAAAAGAATTTATTTTTGCTAGGTAGTTTTAAAATGTCTACCTTAGAGTTTAAATCTTTATATGTTTAGTTGTGAATTTATTACTAATATATGAGCTTTCTTCAATATTTAACTAGTGAAATATGCATATCATTTGAGATTTTAAATTTGAATAATTTTTTAATCTTTTATATGTAATATTAAAAATAAAAAATAATTGATTTTTGGATAATTTTTTATCTATAACAGCCAAAAAATATTTAAACGTCAAATGCTGTTATAGGTGTTTAACGGTCATTCACTATAAAGTCAAAAAATATCGGAACAAACGAGACTATTATAAAGAGGGTTGGTTGTAAAAACCTTAACACGAAAGGATGACAAGAGGTAAAAAAATGTTAGAGTGAGAAGTGAGCTTCTCTCTACTCTCCCCCACTCTTTCTTCCCTTCTAACGGTTACTTTACAGTGATTAACGACTAATTTTTTTCCCAATTTTGCTCAATGAGCATGTCCATTGACATTTTCGGACACCCATCCTCAAAATACCAATGCCATCGGACCCCAACATTAACAGAGATGCCTCCTCATCTAAAACTTTTCCACCTTTGCAAAGAAGAGCAATGGAAAACGACACAATACCCAAGCAATCGCAACTAGAATCTCATGTAGGAGCTCAGGGCTACAAAGTTAGAAATCGAACGGGACTAAAAGTAAGACTACCACCAAGAGCACATGAAGTGATTGAACGCAAAGCGGTGGTTGTTCTTATCAACGAAGAACATGAACTCCTCGCAGACACATGCCGATGGACCATCATCGGTAAGTTTCTTCGAGGCAAACCTTCCATTGACAAAATTAGGGCTGATTTTGCTCGATTATTTGTCTCTAAAGGAGAAATTAAAATTTATGCAAAAGATAAATACCATTTTTTGATAGATGTTAAAAATAAAGATGACTTCAATAATATTTACTCAAGAGAGTTCATTAATCTCTCGAAAAATGTCAGCATGAAGATTCTGAAATGGACAACAATTTTAAGCCTAACGCTAAAATATCCCTGGCCCCTGTCGGGATTAATCTCCCGGATGTACCTTGGCATTACTATGGCTAGAAATTGAGAGTTACATTGGAGGGTGTTGAGACTTATGGCATTTTTATAACATTGTAGATTATGCATTTCAGCATCAAGAAGGTGAAGAAAATAGTGTTAGGTTCACACTCCTTAGAGTGGGTGTCGCGGTTGTGGTGCTTTGGGGTACTTAAGTAGGAAGTCAACGGCTTATGGGCCTTAGGGCGTTGTGATTTTATACTAAGGTCTTTTGTGTGGTAAATTTTGGTTAAGGATCATGGTGTTCCAGCAAGGAGAAGTATCAATTTGAAGGCAATTTGGAAGGGACTTGGAGGAATAGGACAACGTGGTAGTAGGTTGGATCATCACAGTAATGGATATAATCGGTTCTTTGGGTACTTATGATGTGGCGAGCCTCCACAGGTGTTTTGTGGCAATGCTCTAGGGTTTTGCCGGCCTGCGAGGCTGGGTTGAGTTAGAGAGATTCGGTTCTGATAGCTTGGTTGTGTGCAAATAGTTTTTGAAGAGTTCTTAATGGTTTTTACCAGGGTTCGAGGAGTATATTTCCTACCGGCGTGAGGAATATGTTGCATATTGAGATTTTCTCCGGGATGAGATCAAATGGAAGGGTTCTGACTGATCGGGTATGTATTCTGCTTGGGACTTAGAGTTGATTATAAGATTCTTGTACTCTTCACAGGATGGCATGGTAGATGCGGTGTATTGTGTGGGATTGAGATTTACATATGGAAGGTCACAGTTCAGTTTTGAAGGGAAGGACATAAATTCGTAGGCAGCATGGACGGTTTCAGATGACTAGGTGAATGATATTACTTTTTGGTATTTCTTGAGGAGAGTGTACATTTCAGGAGGCGCACTGTGTTTTGATCTATGGATACTTCATTGGTGTTGTGGCGCTCTCCTGGTTGATCGACTGCTGATTTCCAAATATTGCTATGTGGCACGGAAGAATTATAAAAGTATTCCTCGTAGGATGATCGTATATGAGAGATGTGTTAGACATTCGGGCGGTGGAGTTGGGATCAAATATGGTGATTCGTGTGTTCTATGGAGTTGGAGACTAGGGTTTCTTAGGAACAGATTGTTTTATGGTTGCGGACTGTGAAGTCGTGGCCGAAGCTAGCCAGATGATAGTATGTGTTATGATTCAGTCGTTATGGACTTTTGGAGGGTTAATTATCTATTGGTGGGTGACCAGAGTTGACTTGGGGGTCCATTGGTAGGCCCAATTAGGATGTGTATTCTACACCAAGCCGGATTGGTTGGCTACACACTGCTATTGTTGAGGGATGTACCATTCTGTTGTTGTTAAACTTATTCGTGTTCTGAAATAATCTGTGAGTTACTCTTTTATGCAATGAGGAGTTGTGATTCGTTGGTTACAAGCACACCTGGTGCGGTTTTATTTGTGCTTTATAGTAGAATTTGAGCGAGATGAGTAATTGGGTATTGCATGGTTAATGGCATATGGGTTATGTTCTTTCGGGTTTTATGTAGCATTATGTCATCTGCTTCTCCATAGTTATGGTAATGCACCTTGAGTACTTGATTTCGGATTACGTGTGGTTATTGATTTTGAGCATGGTGGCTGAGGTATTTCATATGGATCAGTGTTTTGATGGGGTCGCGCATGGCGGCAGAGTTATGTTGAGATATGATCCTTTGTGTTAGATTCGTGTGTTATGGTTCTACGGTGTGATGGGTTCTTAGCATTGCGTTGGGGTGGCAACCGTCGAGCTTACGGGACGGTTCACTTGTTTGAGTCATGTTCGTGATTGAGTCATGTTCTCTTGCAGGATAGGAATGTTGCTTATTGGTGCACTGATTGCACGGGTTGTGGCTTTAGCTAGTATTGGTGTGGCATGTCAGTAGAGTAGCTGGGATTTGATAAGATGAAGTTGTCGGATTTAGGATGGGTACTATCAGATTTGATTGTGGTATATTTGGAAGGATAATATCGAAAGGCGGCTTAGAAATTTGCTATGATTCTTGTCAAAGGAGAGAGAGCTCCACGACTGGTGGATCTGATAAATGGTTAAGAGTTTTTGCATGTTTCTTTCATTATCGGTAGTGTACAAAGGTTTTAGAATGGAGTCTTGTTTGATATGAGGTTAATTACCGGCATTGGGTTATTTTGCGAAGCTACTATGATTAGAAATCATTGCTACGAGTATCTGTGTTATGTGGTATATCATGCGATTGTATCTTGGGTCATGGTTGCGGCTTGGTACAACTTGTTCAGACTTATACAGTGTGTAGGTTGCGAGATTCATATCTTATGAGAAATTCCGGATGTTGGAAATTGGATTCTAAGGCTTGTGGGCTAGGTTGAATTGAGAAATTTTAGTTATGTTGTGTTATCGGACCTGTATGGGATAGGGTAACGTGGGATCACCCCCGGGTATGTGCATGGTAAGGTTATACGGCAATTTGATGGTTATGGGAACAACTCTTGGCACATTCGAGGACGAACGCATGTTTAAGTGGGGTAAGATGTAACGACCCGATCGGTCGTTTTGAGCATTTGCACTTCGCTAGGTTGTTTATGGGCATGAGTAGCTCCGTATGATGTATTTTGACTTGTGTGAATCGTCGGTTTGGTTTTCAGGTTATTCGGGACTGATTTGGAAGAATAATTCTCAACTAGGGAGCTTTAAATTTGAAAGACTTGACCAAGTTTGACTTTTTAGCATTTGACCTCGGATTGGAATTTTGATAATTCTATTAGCTCTGTTGGGTGATTTTGGACTTAGGAGCGCGTCCGGATTGTGATTTGGAGGTCCGTGGTTGAATTTGCCTTGAAATGGCGGAAGTTGAAATTTTGGAAAGTTTGACCGAGAGCGGACTTGTTGATATCGGATTTGGATTCCGATTCTGGAAGTTGGATCAGGCCCGTAATGTCGAATGTGACTTGTGTGCAAAATTTGAGGTCAATCGGACGTGATTTGATAGGTTTCGGCATCGGTTGTGGAAGTTTGAAATTTTAAAGTTCATTGATTCGAGTTGAGATGTGATTCATCATTTTGATGTTTTAATGTGTGTTTTGAGGCCTCAAGTAGGTCCGTATTGTGTTATGAAACTTGTTGGCATGTACGTACGGGGTCCCGATGGGCTCGGGTGAGTTTCAGACGAGGCTCAGACCATTTCATTGCATTTTTTGATTTTTGCTAGCTGCTGGTTCTTGTGTGATCGCACCTACGACTGGTTTGCGCAGGTGCGATGGTTGCAAAAGCGACAGAGGAGTCGCAGAAGCGTGCAGGGGAGCT